GTACTGTGATAACTTGGAGAGAGAGATGCGAAAGCGGAAAGTGCAAACGAACATGCGCTGATGAAAGAGGTGGCATTGGTTTGGTAAAACAATGAGATACAAAGAGGAAAAGGTACATGTAGTTCGTGTCACTAAACTGCTCATCAAATGAGGTCAACGATTTGCGTTTTTAAATAAAAGATAACTAGAGGACAGGTTTTGTGATAACTGTTTGTTTAACTTGATCACCTCGCAGATCGCAGTAGACTCAGCTGAAATTATCTCCGGCACGCCATGAGTGATGTTCGGTATGTACCGCTTTTAGTTGTTTCCATATTTATATTCACTATTCCAGGCACTCTAAAGAGGGTAGGTGGTAAACATTTTCTTCGATTTAGCGCTAGATGGAGATGACAGTAAGTTGGACTCTAGCGGTGCCGCCGCAAGTAGTCTGGGCGACTCCAAATATAACCTTATGGAAGATTATTACAAGTACGTTGAATCGTTACGTTTGTCTATGAAAGGCTTCCACCCACGGTCAAGCGCCGAGTTAGGGCACTGAAAAAGTTGCAATACGAGACGATGAAAATCGACGCATCTTTCTACCGAGAACTCTTCGAGCTGGAAATGAAATATGATGCACAACATCAGAAAATTTTTGACCAACGAAAAGAGATTGTTACGGGTCAGCATGAACCTGCAGATGACGAATGTGATTGGCCATCCGATAACGAGAATGTTGCCGGTGATGGGGATGAAGTGGAGAAATTGTGTGATGATGTTCAGAAGAAAGCCGGCTTTGAAACTTCGGACAGCGGTACGTCGATTTGTCATCTTTCTCACGTTTATCCAGGAGATAAAGAAGATCTCAAAGGAATTCCTGAATTTTGGTTGAAGACAATGAAGAACGTTTCCCTATTAGATGAGATGATCAAAGAACATGATGTAGATATTCTGAAGCATCTCACAGACGTCAAGTGCATTCTTCACAACGACGAACCGGTATGCCAGCGACAAATTTCAATAATGGTCTCAGGGTTTCACTATAGAGTTCCATTTCTCCCCTAACAAGTATTTTACAAACAAAGTTTTGACCAAGCGGTATTTCTTCAACTACGAAATATCACGTGATGAACCCTTCGAATATGAAGGTCCTGAGATTGTGCGCGCAAAAGGCTGCGCCATCAATTGGAATCCCGGGAAGAATGTTACTGTGAAGCTCATCAAGAAAGTACAGAAGAAGAAGAGCGGAAACGCCAAACGAACCATAACGAAGAGCGTACAGGAAGATTCATTCTTCAACTTCTTCGATCCTCCTTCTGAAGGTATTTTGTTTGATGTTCATGCTAATACTGTTCAGCCGTAACAGATGACTTGGTAAATGGTAACACTTTTCCGTAACCTGCAGTTATTAGGACGAGGATACGCAACTTCTCTTGGAGGCTGACTTTAAACTAGGCCAATTCCTCCGGGATAGCATAATCCCTCGGGCAGTTTTGTTCTTTACAGGAGAGGCTGTCGATTCGGACGTAAGTCTTACCATGGTTATGTAACAATTCCATAGTTTGAGGATGAAGACGATGATGACGAAGATGAGGACGATGATGATGATGAAGATGAGGATGAGGTAAGGTTGTTATTCTCGGTCGTTGATCTATTACGTTTATCGAATTATGCTACTCATAACGACGGTGCATATTTTACCTTTCAGGACGAAGAAGAAGACCATAAACCGAGTCAGGTAAGAGGCATTTCCCCCTAGAGAGAGAGTTTATCCTACAACGTATAACGTAAATGCCGCCTGCGGTCATTAACCTTTGATAACGTAGATGTCGTTGTCTTTTTAGCTTCACAACCGTGGGCGGCATCACAAGCGTAATCCGAAAGCCACTGCAGAAGCACCGGCCGAATGCAAGCAACAGTAGAACTCGCTGACTCAGCTGACCGGGTTCGGCTGATACAGCCGAAAGCGGTGGTGCCCGTTTGTCTTCATTCGTTTTGATGCATTTGTTGCAAGCCGACGTCTTGTTCATTGTACATTCACTTTCCTACGTTTTGTTGCCATGGTCCTCAGATCAAGATTAAATTGGAGCAATCAAGCGAATTGTTTTGTTTTACATCTGCTATACCGAGGGAGGTTATTTACATAATCCCATCTTTTGTCCCGAGTACTCGGGCTCCCTTGTGTTTTCGGAAGTGGTTTAATCGTGTCTTCCGATAGGAAGTATTTGACTTCTAATGTTCCCATTCTTTCCGAGCTGAGGGGCAATGGCTTCATTCCGTTACTGATTTAATGCGTAACATCTGGTCGCAAGGGCGCAGTTGAACATCCTGTAGCCAATCACTGATAGTTCCATGTTTCAGAAGAGTGATATCGTAGTGAATACGAAAATCACCGGGCGATTATTTGATCCCAGTCACCTGTCATATTGCGATACCTGGCTTTCCTCGGGAACAATAAGCACGATCACAACCAGATGGTGATTATATTCGCCAAATCTTCATGCCTTTTCAAATCTTCGAATAATGCTAAACGCCGTCCACCAATGATAGTGCTGTTGACATGAAAGGTGCCTTAAACTCAGTTGACCGTGAAGCCTTTGTAGATTCGCTACTCCGCAATGGAAATATGTGAATCTACTTGGGTCGCAGACTTCTCGTAGCGCAAGGGTCTACGGAGTGTTAGTTGGGTCGTTCAAAACTGGCAGCGTTGTTCGCCATGAGCGTCATATCGCTACTTGTTTGATTTCATCGTAGACAAATCACCGAGGATGTGGTCCAAAACTCGGTTGTTGTATGGGCAGTTGCTGGGAAGTTCTGCGATTTGGAGTGCTCTAGCGCCAACGTTGGCTGATTCCGTTGCTCCGTCCGGCATGCGGTTTGCGCCTTACAAGTGATGCTGCAAGACTAGGTATCGCCGAGTCCCGTTCTGAAATTAAATCGTCAGGGATCAACCGAGGTTAACGTTTCCGCTTACGCGGGTTGCTGCATGACTAACAATGGCAGTGCGTCAAAGGAGGCAACCGCGACTATTTCCATTGCTCGAGCTACATTCGCATCTGAGTCTACGACGACGCTCCCGTAACGTTGAATTCGCGCATGTGCGATCACTTCTATTTCGCGGTTAGAAGACATCCGTCGCTGGAGGTTTCCGCTAGTCGATGCTTGCTTGGTCTGACCAAGGTAGGATGCAGAGGGCGGGCTACCGCATTTAATTCAGCGCCACGGGCCTCGGTAAGAACACGTTTTACGTGTGGTGGGCGGTCGCCTACCGCATTGTCATCTCATTGCACTTGCCGATCTGGACCGAAGAAAGCCACATGAAGGTCCGCAGAGGACGTGGAGGCGAGGCATGAAGAGATGCACAGAACGATTAGGTGGAGTAGGTGTTCCTCGTCTTCCGGGTTCTGCAACTGGGTGTTCATGACAGCCAGCCTCGAGCAGTGGCGTTCTTGTTAGACCGAAATGCGTGAATTAGTGTGTACGCACCGTTGGACTATATATTGTGTTGACCATGGAGGTTCGTTTCTTTCTCCATCCTCAATAACAGGCCCAATCCCTGTCCTCCCCACTTATCTTGTATGCCTCTCAAATTAGGGTCGATCCCTCTCAATCTTGTGCTTTGTTGTAAGCTTGGCAGTGATCAGTGAAGTTCGCTTCATACAAGGGTTCCTGGTAGACCTTGCTCAGTCCGTCCCTATTTAGAGCGATTGGCCTTGTTTTCTGGCATAAGACAGGTTAAATGCATCTTGTATGCGATTCTTTTCACAAACATGGTGCTTTATCGAAGTTGGGTCTCGTCAGGTCGAGAGTGGTCTAAACCGCGTTATGAAGGCTTATGCGCTTCTGTTAGTCAATATTCTAAATAACTTCGTGTCTCTAACTTGGGGTTTTCACAACGATTTAATTTCACTTCTAGATGATCAAGCCGTATGCCAAAGAGATATCTCGCTGTTTTACAACGATGCCGCGTGATTCAAGTCTGATCCCACGTTGACTAGGGCTAGCTTGAATCTAGGTAGGCAGGGTTTGCCTGACGGTGATTGCATCTGCTACCCATACAATTGCGTGACCAATGACGGCAGTACACTAAAGCATACAACGAAATGTATTTCGCAGATTCCAGCCGCAATGCTGAGTAAACCTTTGGCGTCGAGACATTTCA